TGTCTGGCTCACAGCTGAAAGCCCCAGAGGAAGTAAGCTTCCTCCTCTGCACCTCCTGTGTGCCTCGGAGTGTCACCGGTAGCTGAGAGGCCCTCAGACCCACGGCTTCCTGATTTCCGGGCTCTTTCCGCTTCAGCTCCGATTGGCAAAGGCTCCATCAATATTTCCCTGTCTCCCTGGGGTTTCAGCCTTTTCACAGACAGCATAGAGCAGTCAGAGCCTCTGTCAGCCTGCAAGCCTTTCTGCAAACTCGAGAAAAGGGGCCCCTTCCCACAGGCGACCAGGGCCAGGTCAGACCACCAGTGAGTGAGTCACCTGAACTCTGGTTCCTCCTGAGCGCAGCAATAAGATCTTTCCCCACTCCCAGCTCTGTGGCCGGCAGGGAGGAGAAAGAGGCAGCAGCAATACCCCAGCCCCTTCAGGGTCCAAAATAAACAATAAAGCTGAGCACTTTCAGAAGCCCCTCAGCTCTCAGGGCCTGAAGTCCCTGTCCCCCACGCTGTTCCTCTCACCTCCTGAAGGTGCAGGCTGAATCCTGACTTGTCCTACTCAGGCTTTCACTCTCCCTCAACTTAGAAAGCTCCTCTTTTGCTCATTTGTTATCAGGGCCCGGTTTCTGTCCCCAACTCTATCGCAAACCCAACCTCCTCCACGTCCTCTCAACCGAAAGTACTCTTGGGTGACTCCCCCTGCCCCAGCCTTCTCTGCTTCCTCGGAGCTTTGATCTCTCTTACTACTCTTTTTCCACATGCTGGTGGCAGAAAACCCCCATGTCAGCTGCCGGCAAACCCCAGGTCTGTAGAGGTTTCTCTGTGCTATCTCTACATCAGCCAGAAGTCCCAGCATCACTGTGAGTCATCCAGAGAATCCAGCCACCCAGAGAATCCAGCTAGAATCCAATCTAGCCAACAGAGTGGAGGGACCATATTGCCTTCACAAATGAACTTACAAACCCAGGACAGGATATATTAGGTCACATGTTGATCATGTGCCTGATCCAGGTTCAAGTCTCAGCACTTTATGGTCCCTGAGCATCTCCAGTGCACCCTTGCAGGCCTCCAGCACCAGCAGGTGTAGCCGAGTCTCCCCTACATCAAGGGTCCAGGCAGCACCACATTCTTCAGGCCCTTGCACTGGTCTGACAGGTAGGACCTCTGGATCTCCTGAGCACCGTTCAGAATTTTTTTTTTTTAAGAGATGGCCTGGGCTGGAGCCATAGCACAGTGGGTAGGGCGCTTGCCTTGCATGCAGCCAACATGGCCGACCGGAGTTCGATTCCTCCACCACTCTCGGAGAGCCTGACAAGCTACCCGTGACGGCAGAGCCTGGCAAGCTACCCGTGACGGATCCAATATGCCAAACACAGTAACAACAAGTCTCAAGATGGAGACGTTACTGGGCCCGCTTGAACAAATCGATGAACAACAGGAGGACAGTGACAGTGACAGAGATGGCCTGGAGCAAGAGCACAGTGGTAGGGTATTTGCCTTGCATGCACCCGCCCCAGTCGACCCAGGCTTGATTCCTCCGCCCCTCTCAGAGATCCCGACAAGCTACCAAGAGTATCTCACCCACAAAGCAAAGCCTGACGAGTTACCCGTGACATATTAACAACAAGTCTCACAATGGAGATGTTACTGGGCCCGCTCAAGAAAATCGATGAACAACGGGAGGACAGTGCTACAGTGCTACAGATGTATCACCCAGAAAGAGTGGAGAGCAGCGGACTACCTCTCCACCCCCAGGAACTATTATTCACCAAACTTTGCAAGCCCTTCTGTGCTCCATACCCTGCTGTCCAGATCCTTGAGGATGGTGCTCTCCTGGGAGCTGCTCTTCCATCAGCCTTCCTCAAAGCACTCACAACCAAGGTGAGGCCCCATGCTCTTCCCATTCCTTCAATCCAACTTTTGTCCTTCTGCTAGGTAGAGTAACAGTGTGCACCCCCAAACGCATCACAGGGCTCAGTCAAATGTAGACTTTTCTACTTCTTTAGAAGGCATCAGGAACAGACAGAGCAAGAATGTCTTTCTGGCAACTGTGTTTGTGAGTTGAGTTTTTCTCCCTATAAAATGTGGTTCAGGAGGCAGGGACATGCAGCCCGCCACACAGAGCCAACAAGCCTGTGACCAGCTTTCTCCTCTAGCAAGGACAGAGACAGCTCTTGCCCTTTATGTCGCTTTGCTCCTTTTGCTTCCCAAGTAAGGCTAAGGACTAACGTCAAGGGCAAGTATCTGAAGATATAGTAAAAGGGCTGGAGCCATCTGGGGAGGCGCTTGCATACAGCCCACCAGAGTTCCATCCCTGGCACCATATATGGGCCCCAGAGCACTGCCAGGAGTGATCTTTGAGCACAGAGCCAGGATTAAACCCTGAGAGCCCATGTGTGGCCCAAATACCAAATAAATAAAGACATAGCAGACGCTTTATAGATTTAGTGAAATGAGTGAGTCAACAAGTACAGAGGAAGGTAAAGAAAAGGTTTTTAAAAACAACTTTAAGGGGGCAGGAGAAATAACTGTGGGCTGAGTATAGCCCTTGCATGCAGAGACCCCCAAGTTTCTGAGCCTCAGCACCGCATTACTCCTTGCCCCCTGCTTCCCCTGCACCACCAGGTGTGACCCTGGCATCCCAAGCATCCCTGGGCATGAGCTATACCAATTAGTGAGGGTGATGTCTGATCCCCTGAGCACCGTTAGGGTGCCCCACTAGTTCCAAAAGAACTTTGAAAGCACCCCAATCAGGACAGTACTAGAAAGAAATGTGAAAAGCAACCCATGGTAAGAGAAGGAAATGTAAATGGGAAATCTTGAGATGAAGTGGTAAGGAGGAACGTCCCCTTCATGGAAACCGCAAGGAAATCCTGAGACCTCTTTTCCTCACCTGATGCATAAGTCTGCCTGCATGGGGCCCAGGATGGAGCCTGGCCATTAGGGTGCTCGGGGATCCTTGTCATTGGTGTTTGAGGCTTCTTCCCCCAAAGGAGCAGATACCCACATCCCCGAGGCAACTCACATTGTGCAGAGAGCTTTTTTTTTCTTTGAATTTTTATTAGTGAAAAACCATGAGGTACAGTTGTAGACTTACAAATTTTTGTGCTTGGGTTTCAGTTATAAAATGATCGAGTGCCCATCCCTCCACTGGTGCCCATTCTTCACCATCCCTGATCCCAGTATCCTTCCCCCCCCCCCCCCCCCCCGCCATCCCACCCATCCCACCCTGCCTCTGTGGCAGGGCATTTTCTTTTGTTCTCTCTCTCCTTTTGGGTACTGTGGTTTGCAAATGAGGCACTGAGTGGCAATCATGTTCCATCTATAGTCTACTTTCAGCATGCATCTCCCATCCTGGGAGGATCCTCCCAACACCGTTTACTTGGTGCTCCCTTCTCTATCTGAGCTGCCTTTTCCCCTAGCGTGTGCGGCTGGCCTCCAAGCCATGGAATGAATCTCTGGTACTTATCTCGGCTATTCTTGGGTGTTAGTCTCCTATTTTGTTACTTTATGTTCCCCAGATGAATGCAGTCTTTCTATGTCTGTCCCTTTCTTTCTGACTCATTTCGCTTAGCATGATACTTTCCATGTAGTACCACTTGCATGAAAGCTTTTCTTGACTGCAGGCCTGGTCCAGGGACCGTCACTGCTTGATGGTGGAAAAGAATGCTCAGCTGGGGAAACCGGGAAACTTCACATAGTTTGCAGATGAGTGTCCAAACTCCTAATGACCCTAACTGTGGCATGAAATGGACAGAAGTTGCCCTGCTGGAGTGACAGGCCCGAAATAGTGTCATCCCTTCTCCCCTACTAGGATGGCTCACGTCATGGAAAGAAGCAAAGAGACACACTGCTTTAGCCAGAGCGTCTCCACACCCTCACCCTCAGCTCCTCTGTGGTGCTCCTCACACTTGCTGGGCTAGAGACGGCTGTGTGCAACAGCAGAAACACACACGGACTATAGGCTCCTTTTCAAAGCAAAGGAGAAAAAGACAATAAGCCTCAGTCCTGAGATCCAGCAGGCAGCCAGAGCCTGGTGCCTGTGGGCAGGGATGAGGCGGGGATGGTTCCACCTTCCCATTCCTGCCCAAGGCATCACCTTTTCAGGCCCTACCACCACCAACCCCCAGGGCAGAGAGGTCAGAAATTGCTGTGCACTGGCAAGCCACAGGCAATCTTTTGGTTGTTTTGTTTTGTCTGGGAACCACACCTAGCGTGCTTAGCTCTTACTCCTGGCTCTTTAGATCATTCTTGGAGGGACTTTCGGGAAATATCTGGGGTGTTGGGGATCGAATCGGGTGAGGCAATAATTTGGAGACTCTAGAGATCCTGAGTTCCAGGCAACAGAGAGAACTTAACCCCTCTCTCGTCTCTCCCAATATTAAGGGAGCCTAGACGTGGTAGAGATGACCAGTGGGCGTTTTATTTACCAAGCAGTTGTCCTTCCTCCCACGTGTCCGTTGGCCTCGGGTGCCCCCCAAAGCGCACCCCTGCTGCATCCGCTCCGCACCCCTAAACCTCTAAATTCCTCCTCGTACACCAAAGCGCGAGCTGTGAGCGCTCACCCCATCACCACCCCGCATCTCGCCTCCCGCCCGCCTCCCGCACCCCACACTCCCCCACCCCGGACAGAGCGCCACCACCAACAGAGCCGCAGTCCCGGGTGCGCGGGCGGGCGCGCGCGTGCTCGTGAGCGGCGCCGGTGGGTGCGCGCGCACGGGCGCCTGGCGGGGGCGGGCTCTGCGCCCGGGGGCCGGGTTGGGCGCGCAGAGTGGCAGCGGGACTTAGCTGGCGGTGAGGGGCCGGGCGCCGCAGTGCCGTAGTAGTGGGCAGCTGCGGCGGACGGCTGGGGGATCCGCCGATAACCCGAGCTGGCGGAAGATCCCGGCGTTTCCCAGTCTCGGCTGGGGGGGCCCCCCAGCTCCCCGGAGCTTGCAAGCGCTGTCACCCTCCCGGCCCGAGCGGGCAGCGCGGGCGGGACGACGAGGACGACAACGACGACGACGACTACCAGTCTTGGTCCCCTTTGCGTCTCTTGGTTCCGCTTTGCTCCCAACTAAGGGAATAAGCCCAGAGGAAGGAACGCTCCGGGAAACCGCGCAACCAAGTGTTGCACGGTGAGGTAAGAAGACGGAAGGTGCCGTCGAGGTGGGGGTGGGGGTAGGGGGGTCTCAGGTGACGGGGTTGGCGGGGAGGCGGTGCAGGCTGCAGCAACTTGGCCAAGAAGGGCAAAGCCTGCAGCCGGTCCTGTGGTTTGGGGAAGGGGCTGCCCCAAGGCCACTGCGCCCAATCCGACGGTGCCACCTGCCCTTGCTGGAGGAGGTCCCCGCTGGAACAGGGAGGTCACTGGGACGACCACATGCTGGGATGCCCAGTTCTTCTGCGGTTGAGACCTTCCAGATTTCAAAGGCGTGCGTGCGTGCGTGCGGGCAGGAGGCTGCCCTGCCGTTGGCAGTGTGCTGAAGCAACTAGTCCCATCTCCCTCCTTCCAGACTCACCCGCTTGCGCGGTCCAGCTTGCGCCCGGGATGCACTCGGGCGGCAAAGGAACCGTGAACACTTTCCTTGAGGTCTGGAGCCGCAGACCTGTGACCGCCCCGCGGGGCGCCAGGACTTGGAGGTACTCCACGGAGCCCCCCTCTTCCCCGGGGTCGGGCAGCTTAGAACTGGAGTGGGACGGACCGCGCGGGCCTTTGGATAAACGGCAGCTCGGGGACCGAGAGAGGGCTTGCGGGGAGAATCGCACGCTGACCTGTTTAGTTTCTGAGTCATGAGACGCGCGTGCATGTGTGATTCGGGGGCGCATATCCCGTTATCACCTGTGGGGCTTGCACAAACTCCTCCACCTCACCGCGCGCTGCAAAGCTGAGCTTTTCATCCTCCGGGCTAGTGGAGCAGGATTTGAGGAGGGGGGCTGCAGAGTTGAGGAGGGGGCGGGAGTTCTTACAAGTGAAGCCGCTATTCCGCCCTCTCCCGCCCCAGCACCCAGAGGGAGAGGTGAGCGAACGAGCAGGCATCTCCCAAATGTGCGCGGTCCCGCGGCGGAACGGAGTGACCGGCGAGACCCCAGCACCCAGCTGCGCTGGAGGGTCTGCGGCAGCGCGCGGTGATTTGTGGCTGCGCCGCAGTGGCGCGCGGGAGAGGCCCCAGCGGCCTCATTAGCATACGATGACCTAGCTGTCCCGCTGTCCTCGCTTGTTGATGTTTCTCATCTTTCCGGGTTTGCAAAACACCCCTTGAAAATGGTACTGTGGTCCTGGTGACTAAAATGTTGAGCGATGGTGGTAGGGACACGGGGCTGGAAATCGTCCTCTGGACTGAAACAGGGGCGACGACTTTGTTATTTCGGCGCTTGGGATTCTTTGTCTGTGGAATAGACGGTGGCGACACTTGCTGAAACATAGGTACATCTTGATGTATTAGATCATATGGGGACAAAAGTCCTCCCGTTTCGTTCTCTGTCTCTGTATCTCTTACACACACACACACACACACACACACACACACACACACTGCACATCTACCTTTGTACTTTGGATTCCTCTCATTCCAGAGACAAGTCCTAAAGCCAGAAGGTAATACTAAATCTGTTCCTGGTGTTAAAAGGAGCAGTATCTGCCACAGATTCTGTTCTGAATGTGAACTGCATTCAGGAAAAACAAGCAAATCACTGCAACTAAGGTAACTCCTCTGCTGTAGATACAATCCTTTAAGGATTTTTTCTTGGGGGAGGGCGGTCCTCACCCTTAACAAGTATTTGTAGCACTACAGCCACCACTATTGTCCGATTTTTCTGGGAGCAAACTGGGGTGCGGAGCCAGTGAATGAGTTGTTCCCACCAATATAGTATATGCCAGTTTTCTCAGTTGATTTGTTGAAATCAACCAAGACCTAGGGAGAAAATGATAAGTGCAGAGCATCTGGAATCTAGACTCTGTATTGGGAGAAACCGCTGAGGCCATCTGTTCCAACTTCATCCCTCTGGCCAAGTCTCCCCAGAGCCCAATCAGCAGGTGGAGGGGATGGATCTTGCCAAGCCTATACTCCTAGAGGTCCTGGCTGTGGAAATGCTGGTCTCTTCCAGGGGCAGATTTTCTCGTTGCTGAGCCCCGGGAGGGAATGCTGAGCCCTCACCCCTTCCTGGGAGGAAGGAAGAAGAGGGACGAAAAGTACCTTTATGTTGTGATAGTACATCTCTCTTTTAAAAATCTAATGGTATCTCACCATCATGATATTCATTGCAGAAGATTTGGAAAGTTGAAAGGTTGCAAAAAAAAAAAAAAAACAAACACCTGCCATTCTACCACCAGATTACATACTCATAGTTAGATTGTTTCTGTTGGTCTGCTTCTGTGCCTTGAAATAACACAAAACACAGAGAACCAACATGTATTGGATACCTAAAAATGTAGGTTTAAGCATTTATGTCTTGTATCCTACAATCCTTTGGTCTTCAGAAGTTGCCCTAAGCAGTTTTTATGACCAACCTCTCAGAAGTAAGTGCCCTTCCACATTGCGCAGTTAGCAAGTAAGTGCAGAGCCAGAATTCAAATCCAGGCTGGCTGACTCCTGGTTGACTGCTTATCCTTTGTAGCTAGTTGTTCTGCACTTTTAAGAAAAAAGATGAATGTTATAGCAAAAGTCCTTTTTGATCATCTTCTTTGTAGCTTTTAATCACTAAAGTTGTTTCCCGTCTTTAGCAACTACTAACTCTGTACAACACCTCCCCTAGGCAAAGTCTTTTAGGCATAAATGTTCAATTACTTCCTCTGGACAGATTCCCAAAATCAGCTAAAAGGGTTTGAATGCTAACTGTCGATATATATGACAAGCCATTTTTTGAAACGGCTACACCTATTTATACTGTCATTCATCCAGTCAAAGCTAAAGAATCTTGAGGACGCAAATAGACAGGAGCCTTATTAGTCTGCTCAAGGAGACTAAGATCAAACTGGATAACAAAATTATCCCTTTAGTCTCATGTGAAAAAATAATCACACTTATCATCCTGTTTTATGGAACTTCACGCAAACTTCCATAAAATATAAAGCTGCACCTATCGTTATGTGACCAAGTGTTACTTGCAAAAATAATCTGCTTAGGTGTCCCATGTTAGTTTAGGAACAAATCAGACTATTGTGTAAAGACACATAAATGCTGTAACATTTCTCCACACAAGTAACAAAACAGCCCTCACTGCTATCAACGTTCATCAGTACAATCACAATCACACTCATTGGTCCAGACAACCTAACAGCCAATCAGTAGCAACTGTTTCCCTCCTGGTCATATTCATGGAGCTGTTTATTATTCCAAGTTTCAGAATTCCATAACCAAATTACATTGGGACTTGATGGCATTTTATTTGTAAGAGAATTAGTCTGATTTCCTCTCCCAAAAATCTCAGCCCAGAACAGTCATGCATGGTTAGGGACTACTGGTAAAACAATTGAAAAAAAAAAACTGTCTGGGGATGGAGCTATATTGCAGCAGATAAGGTGGCCTGGTTGCCTTGCATGTAACCCTGGTTTGTTGATCCCCGACATTCCATATGGTCTCCCGAGCCCACCATGAGTGACCTCTGAGCTCATAGCCAGGAGTAACTGCTATGAACTACCAGATGTAGCCCCAAAACAAAACAAAATATGTTGTCCTGGAAGCAAATATCCTTAGGTAAACTAAATGTTGCAATAAGAGAGAAGTTTAATTGGGCAATAGGAAAAAACATAAAGGAGAAATGTTCAAAGAAAACATATGGGTCCTAGCCATGAACTTTCCCTGGGGCCATATTTGTCCCATGGCAACCTCCTCCAGGCGAAGTGGGTTTAATAGTCCTAGAACATAATCTGCTCTAAATGGAATAAATGTCTATTTAGCCCCTCATAGGAGATCTACTTATTTAAAAATCTGCTCAACTTTCCAATGTCCTCCTAGGAAGTTCACGGTGTTACAAAAATCTCACTGGGGATCCCAGAGCCCCTGTGCAGATCTTCCTCTTGCTATTCTGGTGAAATCACTATCTGCATAACCCCATTAAATTCTGAAATTCCTATAGCCAAATTCCTATTTTTCACTGTACTCCAGCACCTGAGATACTTGTCCATAATGGATCACTAAATAGGATAATGAACAAATAAGAGACATTTCTAGGTTCTGTTCTGGGTGCATTGTTGGCATTTTTCTTTAAATGCACCTCTATTCAGCTATGAATGATCACTCCCAGAAATGTACCTGAGAAGTATCTGCATGTCGCCATTTTCCATTTCACTTCATTAACTAAAATTTAAAATTCAGTTTCTCAGTCACACTGGCTACAATTCTGGTGCTCAGTGACTTTCGGGCACTATACTGGAGAATTTACGTTAGAACAATTTCGTTATGATACAAAGTTCAACTGGACGGTACTGGTTAGCTCATAAATTTGGTGCAGGCGGGGGTGGTGGTGATGGTATAAATCTTGTTTTCTATCATCTCCCTTGCAGCTGCACAGTGCTTAGCAAGAGAGGGACCAGGAGAGCGAAAGAAAGAGGAAGGAGGATAATACTAAACGTAACGTTAATATTAACTAAACGTAATGTTAATATTAACTATATCATCTTCACGCACCTATATTATGCTAACTTTATTTTGCTTTCATACATATGTTATCTAATAGTCACATTGCTACACATGAGATGAAACAGTCTTCAAAGTTTTAAGTGGTTGAGCCGACTGGTTCAGCCCTTTTGGAAAACAATATGGACGATTCTCAAAAAATTAGAAATTGAGCTCTCATTTGACCCAGCAATACCACTCCTGGGAATATATCCCAGTGAGGCAAAAAAGTATAGTGAAGTGATATCTGCACTTGTTTGTTCATTGGAGCACTGTTTACAATAACTAGAATCTGGAAAAAAACCTGAGTACCCGGGAACAGATGACTGGTTAAAGAAACTTTAGTACATCTACACAATGGAGTACTATGTAGCTGTTAGAAAAGATGAAGTCATGAAATTTACATACAAGTGGTACTATATGGAAAGTATCATGCTAAGTGAAATGAGTCAGAAAGAAAGGGACAGACATAGAAAGATTGCATTCATCTGGGGAACATAAAGTAACAAAATAGGAGACTAACACCCAA